CTGGACATGTGTGTATGTGTTCAGCACAAGTTTCGTGCTACTGCGTTTTTCATTTTTGTAAATACAGACTTTCAAACTTTCAAACGCGTTTTTCTCATTTCGCAATTTTGGCCAATTTGCATTTTTTGCGGGAAGTGTTTCGGGCACTTAGAATGGTCATACGACGACGAAATTTGGCACACACATTGAGGAGAGTGCGTAGGGTGCCGATATCTACTTGAATCAGCACAACCTATCAGCTGTAAATATCTATTAAATAAATTTAATGGTGGTCGAGTGGAAAAAAAAGGGTAGTTTGCTACACAGATGTTTTTTTCATAGTTTCAAAGTTGGAGCACAATTTCTAGCTAGATATCGGCACTCTATGGCTAATAGGGAGCAAAAGGAGCCATTGAACAACTCTCTGCATGAACATTTAGTATGCGCGAAAGTTCCCGGAAAACTTATCAAGTTTCACCATTACTTGAAACACAACTCCCAAACTATTGCACTTATGTAAAAACTGATTACAGATTTGGAATCAGGAGGAAAAACTGCATCAGTGGTCCAATTTCTGAAGCTCTAAGTTGAATAACAAAAAAAAAGTGCTTTCGAGGAGCGTCTCCCCTTAAATAAAAAAAGCCGCATAAACAAAACTGTCTAGGCACATTTGGTTGGTTTCTTCTCTATTCAAAAATAAAAAGTATTGGGTAATCGAAACATTCTTTTTTCGCTTACATCAGTGAAATGAAACTAAAACAGGCAAAATCCATGAACGGCGGAAGGGGCCACGGCAGTCTAGCAACCATGAAACAAATGCTGAAGCTAGCCTAGCCGAGCCAATCTAGCGATTGCACATGTCCGCGCACGCCGAGCAGCAAATGATCTGTCTCGTTTCCATCTTTTTTGTTTCCATCTCGCCGTGAACTTGAAATGGAAACAACAAAAAAAATGGCAGCACAATGCACTTTTGCTCGCAACAAAAGTAAAAATCATTCAAGAACTTGACTGCTTGACCGCAACGACCTATCGAAAACAGAAATTGTGAAAAAGTTCAATATTTCCTATTCCACACTGTTGAGGATGCTCAAGAACAAAGGAAAAATCGAAGAAGCTGCAAAGCTTGGGAACTTTGCCACGGACAGATTGCGGATGAGAACGGCGGCGTACAAAGAAATCGAAGATGCTCTGTTTCTCTGATTCAAGCGTGCACGCAGTGCAGACTTCCCGATCAGCGACCCCGTTTTCGAAGAGAAGGCCAAAGAAATTGCTACTCGCATGGGGATCGAGCCCTTGCGGGTGAGCGATTTCTGTCTGGGCTATTTTAAAAAGCGGCATGGTCTTGTCTTTAAGATAGTTTCTGGAGAAAGTGCGGCTGTAAACAAAAATATCTGTAAGCAATATTAGCAACATCTTTGTTTCTAATCAACTATATAAATATTGTATACTTTAAAATGTTTTTGTTCAGTCAGCCATAGTTGGTGCTTTTGAAATAAAGTCATATTTCATTAATTTTGTGGGCCTTGCTTAAATTAAACTTCTTATAAATGAAACAAACTTTCTTGCCTCTTTGAGTTCCGTTTAAGAGGAGTCCACTGTATTATCAATTATGCTAGCAAGAAAAAAAAAAAAAAACTACCGCCCGGTGTTGTCTTTCGCGTCAACAAAAAGGGATACATGGACGAGGCCATGATGCTCGAATGGATAAGATTAGTGTGGAACCGTCGGGCAAGTGCACTGCTGCGTCTTCGCAGCATGCTGGTGTTGGATGCGTTTCGTGGTCACTTAACCGACGCTGTGAAACGCGCACTCGACGACGGGAAAATGCACCTCGCCGTGATACCAAGTGGTATGACGTCCACCCTCCAGCCGCTCGACGTTGCGCTGAACAAGCCGTTCAAGGACCTGGAGTATCAAGAGTGAATGTCCGGCGAAATCCCAGACCCCGAGGGGCCACCTACAGAGGCCTCCGCTTGTGACTGTTTGTGGTTGGATGCTTTCCGCCTGGCGTTCCTTGCCAGATTCCATGGTGGAAACGGCTTCCAAGAAATCTTGCTTCAGCAACTCGCTGGATGGCACGGAGGGCGACGCACTGTGGGAGGCGGCCAGCGATAAACTCTCGTCTTCTGAGGACACTGGTGCTTCGTTGGACTAATAGGATCCAGTTGCGATGGTGGTTGAGGGGAGCTCCGACGATCGGGGTGTGGTGCGCCCAATTCGCGAATAAATGTGGTTCGGCAGTTTTGGGTTGTTTTCCCTTTTTTCTTTTTCGGTAACCTGAACTTGGGGGGTCAACCTATATTCCCACTCGACCTATAGTTTATACGGTATGTCTTTTCTTTTCTGCTTCAAACGGAAAGCAGTGCTGAAAAAAAGCTTACAAGTCGTGAAACTCCTAGCCGTTTTTAAACAGTGAATCTACACTTCGCCGGTATCGAGACGAGCGAGCGAGCCATACCAAAAACGTTGCTTGAGGGCGAGCCAGTTACCAGTCTTCTGCTGCCTTTGCAGCGGCTGTCACCATGAAATATACGCAAGATGGTGGAGGCTATTTATTTCACAATTAAAGGGGAAATTTTTCCTGCCATGCATATTGCACCACATTCGTGGTTACGTTTTTTTTTTTTTTTTTCAGGTGTTAGCAGACTTCGAAATATTTCAAAAATAATAAAATATTCCGAATAGTTATATACGATTTGAAGGTTGAATCGCATATCATAATACTCGCTTTGATATTCGAAAGTTTCGAATATTTGCACAAGCCAAATGTTTTGTTATGTTGGGGTCTGTTATACAGTCGACGTCCGATTTCCCGGACCCTCAAGGGTCCGCGAAAACGTCCAGAAAGTTGGGCAGTTCGCAAATGAATAGACGCGAAAACGCACCTTTTTTTGTAGGTATTTTTTGGTGACAAAGAAGGTAACGGCCGGAGTACAATATTCCCATTGCAATTCAGCCTATGCATCGTTAAGGTGGCTCTGAAAAGAGCCGTTCAAAAAAAAAAAAAAAAAGAACGTGGCCGGCGCTATCTCATAGGCCAGCCCTTGGGCGCAAAAAAGTCGACTATTTTCTTTTGTACAGCGTTCCGCTTGCCCGCGATCATGTCTGCGTCAATTTCAGTCAACGTCATGTTGCCGCTGTACACCGATGACAGTGTCATCAGTGCTCCCGTCAACTCCGAGCTCGTTGGCTGTGTAGGAGATGGATCTTAGTTCTCGGTGTCAAGGTCGTCGGAATCCTCCGTAACTTGACGAATGATTTTGTCATCAGTCAAGTTTGCACATAGCTCAAGGTCTTTGTCAGCGTCGGCGAAGCCCTCAAAGGTTATTCAGGCTGGAATCGACACGCCAGCAGGGCGCAGATCGTCGAAGGCAACATCTGCGGGTAGCAGTTCGTCACACACGCTGTCCACTTGGGGCGAGACGGCCGCCTCGGCGTCGAGTGTGAAGCCCGCATTGCGAAAACAGTCTTGCATAACTGCCTTCCACAATTCCGCTAGCATGCCGACGGCAGACCTGAGGCCAACAGCGTAGCTTTTCCCATCGTGAGCCTACGAGGGGGCTTTGTGCGCTTTGAAGACGAAGGAGCAGTCGGTGCCATCGCAGTAAACGGCGAATCCGCTCGACGAAAAGCGCAACACGAAACAGCTAGGAACTTGGTGGATGCTGGAGGTCAGGAAGCGTGATCACTGAAGATAGCGCGCAGCAGCAAACGATCAGCCGCAGACATGACTGCAGAGCTGACAAAACAGCACGTGAACGAATACAGTGAGGCTTGGCTTGGTTAAGCCGCTAAGCTACGGCTGGCAACGGATTGGCACGTGCAGTTTCGAAGTTACGGCAGCCGCAGCGTGGTGCAGCGCTTTGCGGCGCGAATATATGAAAACAACCAAAATGGTGGCGTCGGTAGGTGACTTTGGGTCAGTGGTTAACAGTAAAAAGTCCGGAAAATCTGATGCCGAAGTGCTATAAGCGCCCGGAATTTCAGACTTTTTAGTACATTGACTCTATGGGGAACATGACGGTGCCACAGTTGAGTCCGGGAAAATAAGGCATGTCCAGACTTTTGGGCATCCGGGAAACCGGACGTCGACTGTATTGAGGTTTGAGTGTAGTGAAATAAGAACTAGCAACAAACTGTTCTGATTCAACTTGACTCAACTGAACTAAGAGAAATATCTGAATGTAGTGCACTGCATAGAACACTGCTCTCAAAAATGTTCAGTGCTTCTTGGCATTACAGTTCAAAACCGTGGTGTCAGTAACACAGTTTAGCAGAACTGGCTCTTCTCATCGCCACATGCAAGAAGCACGTTCACCACTGCCATTGCATTTCTCGCTGCAGGGCAGAGTGCCAGCTGCTCTGCCAAGCCACTGTGTGTAGCAATGCGGTGGTATGGCGGGCTGTGAGTCAACTTTGTGCTTTGCATGCTTGAATTTATGCATGCAACTACCCCGTGTTTACATTCATTGCTCAACCTCTTTTGGCTTACCTTTTAGAGTTACGAAGTTTGAGTGCATACCAAGAACAAGTGTGAGGTACCTGGCATAGATACCTTATCCACATGCATGTATCGCGCAGGGAAGTGAATTGTGCTGAAATCCTTTGCCAAGGCTGGGCTGCTCTTTTGCGTTTTGCCGGACAGTAAAGCAAATGCAATTTCCCATGAATGTTTTCTCAGGCTAGCTCTCTAAACATTGTTTTTGCACCCTACGGAGGTGATGATTATGCTAATTAATATCAGTCAAGGTTTCACAACGTGGTGATCTGCCCTAGTTAGTCACTAACCTTCCCTGCAAACATGGGAAGGTTAGAGGCAGATCCCGTTTCACTTTAGTGTCCTTGTAATGGCACTTCAAGATTTATCGAAATACTTGCTGATTGTGTTTGGGAATTGCATTGCTGTTAGTGATTGGTCTCGGGACCATTGCACGCGGGATGTCGCGTGTTGAAAATGAGAAATGGTCTCGCTGTTGGAGCCTCACAGGTTTGAAATGAAACCCGATTTCCTTCATTTGCAGCTGCTTCCGGACCTTCCCTATGCAGAGAATGTGACAATGATATTCATAAGCAAGTGCACTTCGTACATCCCCGACTGGAATCCTCAAGCACTTGTAGGCCGAAGCATCGGATTGGCAGCCTGTGTTCAGCATTGATTCCACTCTTTTATACTGTGTATATAACTACCTTTTTTTAATTCATTAGTGTTGGCTCTGAGAGGTGATTTTTTTTTTTCCCTCTCCTAGCACTTGTGCTGGGCAGGTTCAGCTCCGAGCTGCAGCTACCGAGCACAGGTACAACACTTTTCTTAGACGTTACATGAATCTGACTTTATTTTGTGCATGAATTGCAACGCACCTTTAATTTTAGTTCCTGTAATGTATAGTGGTTTAGAAGCTACCAGTGCTGTATTTATGAAGGTGCCCTTAAAGCATCTTTAGCTCATTCTACACAAGTTGCGTGCTCAGGAAAGCAAATACTGTGTCTGACTGAGATCCAAGACACTTGCCGAGTGGACACAACTCCGCTCCAGTGCATTATATCATCCTGTACAATGCAATCTACTCGTAAAAGGAACAACCAGTTGGTATTCAACTGCTTATTACATCTAAACTGATGCATCACTGTATTTGGACGATTTTTCAAAATTTAGATGTCGGCCAAAGGCATTCAGTGGCCATTTTTCTCCTTAATATCATTGGGGTGTTTCAGTTGTATTGAATTTTTTACCAGCCAAGTAATTCCCTTCAAAGTGTGCTGTACTGTGTGCATCATCATTCCATAGTATCCTTGCCATCAAGTTGAAGCATTACATCATCGTTTTTTACAGCATTTTGTCATGTGATGCGATAAAATAAAGCTGTAATTGTTAATAACTGTGCTTGTTTGTACATGGAACTGTAACAGAAACTTGTGAGCAGGCAAAAATCAAGGAGTAATGCTCGCGCGTCAAGCCTCTTAGTACAGTTCATTTCTTGGTGAAACAGGAAAATTTTTATTATGTTTTGGTGATCTTAAGCATTTTTTTTGTTATCTTATTATATATATTGCATTTTGCATGGTGTCCCATGAGTGTATGACAAACGTCAGTGGCAAGTCATTATATGAATAGCATGCCATGTATATGTCATGTATATGTCATTACAAACAAAAACGCACACAACTACAGCCAAACACCTTTATAAGAGAGGATGCAAAAGACAAGTAGGTATAAGAGACATCAGTGGGCCTGCATTGAAATAGTGGTTGATAATAAAGCTCGTACAAGGTGCCCTGCTCTTAAGAGTCATCTCATATAAAAGACAAAAGTTCCTCCCCGCTGCATATCGTTTACATATAGTGGTTCAACTTATATATGTGCGTTTTTTTGTCCGAAAACCATGATGTGAATAGGGATTCAAATTCAGTACTCTGTCAGCCACTATGGTTCTGTTGGAGACTTGTGTCTAGTACTCCATGGCTGTGGAGCTAATACTAGTGTTATTTATCAGGAAACATGCCTGCCAGCATTGCTTTGTCGATTCCATATCATAATGGTACAGACAAGTCTAAAATTTTATATCTTTCTGTTAAGACTATCTGAACATGCTGTTATCTCTGATTCAGACTCCTTTCTCGATTATTGGCCACTCTTTTACATGCGAGGTAGTTTTTTTACAAAAGCAACTAGACAGTTTAGTTAGGGAGTCCAGGGTTTGACACAAACTCTTCTGGCGAGGAAAAATCTTGTTCAAGAAAACGCCATGCATTTGTTCATTGCGAACAAGGCACCCCGTATTGGGTGCTGATACGCCGATTCTGTTGATTTGTGTTCATTTTGATTGGCAAGTGTGCATTTTCTAGGACCATAGTTTAATTATGAACGTTACAGAGGTAATTTAAACAACGGACTCATATCAGAACATAGGATTCAGCTTTCCTTCTGTATTTTTCTTAACCGGTTGTAAGATGACATCCCAAGACTTATTAGCAAACAAAAGTCACATGGTCTATGCTGGCCTCACAGTGACCTTTCTAAAGGAATTGGAAAAACTGTGCGATTTGCCAGCCAGATAACTGGTCACATACAGCTAACTCTAAACTTTAAACTAACAAAAGTTTTATTAGGTCACTGGGATTATTGAACTACATGTGAGTGCACTCGACACCATCAAAAAGTGGTGCGAATTCTTCGGCAGATAAAGGCGGACCTAATTCTGGATTTCTGAAACTTATTAGCGCTCTCGGAATAAGACTAGTAGAGATTGGTGGCTTCACACGCTGCGAGAGCGTCACCTCTGAAGTTCTTAGAACCATCAAATGCCCCAAAGTGTTTCGGAACATTGTGGCACATAACACTAAACACACACACATGTGCATGCGTGATATAATGCCATTTGTACAGACAAGCATTTACTCATATGAGTTCTGACTTTGATGATGATCAAGGAGAGACATCTCGAAATCTCGGGCAGTGAGACCATCCGGAATGGAACAAAAGGGATCATTCGTCAAGGTTTAGTATTGGAGCAAAAACATTTTTTTACTGGTAAAGTACGCTGCATGGTGGGCTTATTTCTGTGTATCTGCTTGTTGTTTAATACAATGCATAATGATTATTTATATTAAAAATTTTTGAAATGGTTTCGATGTTACTAAGAATATTCCATGGGTATATAACTAGGATGATATCTTTGTCCCTTTACGGTCACGCAACAAAATCTTAGACAATTTTTTTTTTCATTAGAGTCTGAAAAATTTATTTTAGTAATAAGATTACACATTTTTGGGCTGCGTTTCGCGAAAAAATAAGTTCAACCCTCTTAGGGGGTCCTGCAACATATCTTTATGCAACCATAGGATGGCTTCATTAAAGTTTGTAGCCTCGCGAATGGACCGCCGCGGAAATATTTAGAATCCAGTATACGAGCATTTATAGATTCTTTTCGCACCCAGTGGCTGCTTTATCTCTTTCGGCACGACGAGCGCGTCCCAAGCAGGGAGGGATGGCATGGGGAAAGAATTGATGTCATACTGCATGCATCATGATCTCGAACACTTCCACTTTTTTTTTTCTCCGAATGGCTGCGTTTTTCAGTGTGATCGCGGGCACTGTGGTGGTTTCGGTAACGATGTGTATTAGTTTCGTAGGTAATTAGAAATTAATTAGCACATTTCCCTTAACATGGAGAAAAAAATCATCAAAATATTGCTTTATGTCCACAGCTGGATACTCTGAAACAAGTCTCACAGTGGTAGGAATGCTTTTTTGGTATGCAAACTATTAACAATTATACAGCTTTATATCGGAGCTTTCTACTCAAGAACTTAGCCTGTATTAGCACGGGACATAATGAAAATTAAAAAAAAAAGACTTCTCAGACGTCAAGAAAGGTAGGCGCTGAACTTCCAACTGTTATTTGATGCCCTTCGCATCCATCTTATGTATGCATGCGTGAAAACACAACTCATCTTGCACGTAATCTCATTCCAAGATACGTCATTTCTTTATTCCATTTTGTTAGACTATCGGGCTAACGTACGCGTAGTGTTTTCGACCCCCAAAACTCTAGGGGAGTTTTGCAAGTTGACTTGCCAAATAATGTCATTCACTCGCAGTGTGATAAGAGACACCAGACGATATATGTAGATTGTGATTGCTGTGTTGTCTATAAGTTTTTATTGTGCAGGAAGTGCTGTATGGGGCAGGCCAAGCAGTGTCTTAAAGGGACACTAAAGGCAACTATTAAGTTGACGTTGATTGTTTGAGCGGTCCAGAAACCTTTACTTTTGTGCCAAGAAAGTGCCCATTTTGAAATTAAATCACGTTTTAGTGGTCCGCATCGGGTTAGCGCACTTCAAATTACCCGCCTCAAGAAGCAGACCGACCGGATCGTCTCACGTCAGTGTTGCCATGCACAATTGGACAATAAACAGTTGGAAGTTTAGCGCCTACCTTTCTTGAAGTCTGTGGCGTCTTTTTTTTTTTTTTTTTCGTGTCTGCCGCGCTTATACAAGCTAAGTTCATGTATAACCAACTCGCTTTAGCCACAGCACTTTCTACTCAAATTTGTCTCATTGTTTAATTGATGGATTATGAAAAAATATCAAGAAATGAAATGCAAAGATCTTTTAACCCTGTGTGCAATACTCATGAAGCTCAGTACTGCAACAAGAATAACAACACCAGGTGCCTTGATTACAAAAAAAAATAAAAAAAATAAACGGAAATTCAGCAGTCTGGTTTTGAAGAAATGCAGAAAAAAAAATTCAGGCAGCGACGATGGTTTGAACCCCCTTTCCCCGCCTACGCTCAACCTACATGCTTGCTGCTGCAGCAAGTGCCATTCATCAGCAGCGTGGCCTGAGTAACCCCAGTTTCACATCTTTTTAGTTTGAATATAGCCTGCACTTTGTAGTATGAATTCCTATTGTAGCCAAAAGATTTCGCCGAGGTGCGAGAAACTTGGCCACTACTTGCACCAAGGCCTGTCTGTACATTACGAAAATGCTCTTTAAAAAGTGGTTTTTCCATGATTTCACATCCTAAAAGAAACACTGCCCCCACCCCCCCTCCCGGCCCTCAAGAGGCCTTGAATCTTGAATCAAATGAAATCTTTACGAATCACATGCTTCACTCATGTTTAGGTTCCTTAGAAAGACTGCAGGCTTCATGTCTGGAAGGAATCAGTGTTGACATGTAATATAAGGTGATAGAAGAGTAAAACAATGAACCAGGCCTCTCACAATGCGAAGTGCGTAACTATAGTAGGTCGTTTAAAGATTCCAACCTATTACAAAGGCTCAGCCGTTATTCATTGCCATCAGCCACCGTATCAACATGCACATAATGCGTTGCAGATGTGTAGCTGGTGCCACACTTCTACATCAAATGAGGAATAATGATGCAACGGGTGGTTCCCAACTTGACAAATTTATGGCATAGCGGTGCCTTGCAAATGTACCTGTAATAGTAGCCCCAAGAGAGTTTACAATGGATTCTAGAAGTGCAACTCTTCCACCTTCCGCTGTGACTGTGGCGCTTTCTGCGCAGGTCTTGCGTTGTTTCTTGCTATCTCTGAGAATTGATCGCAAGCTCCAGGTCGCGTGCAGCGCTATAATATTTGGTTTGCGTGTTCTCGAGAGTCTCGACTACCGATCGGCAGCATTTTCGGGCAATGCTCAAAAACAGTGGCAGGGTCCCGATAATGTCGTTCCTGACGTCATTTCTTCCATAGCCAAATCTCATGAAATTATTGTGGGTGCCAGGATACTGTGTATTACAATAATTACTTATTGATTAGCACCAGCATCTCAGGATAGACCAACATTTTGGTTTCTTCCAGTAAGGGCTTATATGAGTTACATGTTCATATACAGCAGTGATCAGATGTAGGAATTTCAGGTTTAGAGAGATATTGTAAGAACAATTACATAATGGACAGAACTTCAGCTCTGGCAATTTCCATGAGAATATGAGTGGTAGAGACTACATCAGGTTATGTCACCAGATTATGATGCCGCGTACCCCCGTTAAAGCTGTTCACACGGGGCACCTGTGATGATATCTCACCTATGCCAGTTCTGTGTAAAAACATAACGTTTTAACGCGATAGTATTAAAGAGCTCGTTTCGCAGACCTTCTGGCGGGGGCGGCGTTGGCTGTGACCGAAAATTGAGAAAGATGAAAATAAGATGCATAATAACGAAAATTCTGGGTGTGCGTGGGGTTTAACCCGGGTCGTTTGAGAGGCAAGTGGGTGTTCTACCACGAAGTCATGCATCCGTTTGGAAATGCACTGAAAATAGCTTCCTCTGCTTGGAAATACAGTAAAAGTAACTTTGGCTGAATAAAAGTCTATTACTACTATTAACTTGCATGCTTTCGATACACACGTGTCCTGTATACATGCTTCGCAATTCATCATTAATATCGCAGTAATAATGCGCGGTGGGCGGGTGGGTAGGTAGGTAGGTAGGTCGGTGTAGGTAATAGAATCATGTGAGGGAGGTGGCAGGGGAAGTGGAAGCAGCTGTGGAAGCACTGCCCGTAGTTTAAAGCAAGCTACCCATTACACAGAATGCAGCCGTAAGCCAAAAGCTTCACTGACACAAGCCATTTTAAACTCAGTTTTGTAGTTATGTCAAGAAGCTGAACTAGTAAGATTTTAATTTATATTTTTTACAGATATTCGTAAAGTAATTGAACAGGTTTAACTGCAAAAGCACCACAGTTGATTTATTTCTACATGCTCTCAAAAACCACTAACAGTTTTTTTTGTACAGTCATGCAGCCCAGAGTTATGCAATGCTTCCAATTTTCTAGTACGTTTCTGCCAGCAAAGCTATGCCATTGTTGTAATGTTTTTCTTTAGTTTTTTTGTAAATTAACACAAAAGTGTTGAATTGTACCCACTGTCAGTATGCTGTGTGATGTAGTAAACATCTCTGTATGCCCATTCCTGCTTAAGACCAGGTAAACAAGTCAGCAGTATGTAATAAATAAATAAAATAAATTCCTAATTGTTCTGGTCTGGTTATTAATACATGTCTGGTGTGCAATCACTCAGTAATGGCTGTTTATTATTTTTTGTTTCTTGTTTTTCATTACGTGTTCAGATTAGCTTCAGATGGCCATTTCTAAGCAAATTACCAGTGTGGGCGTATATTGGCGGGACAACATTGGGCGTGCACGCTCAGCGCGTGCTTTGTGAAGAAGATTTCAGCGCTCGCTTCGCGTACCACGCGAACGTTCTGCTGGGCGCCGGTGTTCCATTGTTCAGCAACGCTATTCCGGGAGCACCGACTCTGGCTTTCCAGAAACCCTAGTCGAGTACTGAATCCTATGGATTTCACGCCACGTCACTCGGCTCATTCTGGCCGACCGATTGCTCAAAGGATGGCGAAGAGACACAGGAGCACTTCCTCATATGGTAGCAAGGACAGCGAGAACGACGGCACAGTGTCGGATGCGATGGCCCGAGACGTCACCGACCATGATACTGGAGCCACTACGAGACGACGGCCGAAACAATCGCCATGGCTCAGAAACTCGTCGTCTCCACGCTCCCACGATCTCACCATGAATGACGGCGAGGAACATGCGGCTGTCGGTGAGTTGGCCGCAACCCTCGCGCAGGACAACACAGCCCGTGGTCGCCGTGAGTCGCCTACGTCGGTCAATTCGCAATACCCGGGCAGTCGAACGGCCGACGTAACGACAGACGTTTCCAAGCAGCTCACTGCAAATGCATCGTCCTTAATCGAGGAAGTGCACGTCACCAGCTCTACTGTAGGACGGCGTAGTTTTGACGATCGCCACGACGATGACAGCCATCGGCCGTCCACCATCACGTCGCGAACCGCGATCTGTGCCACTGCGCCCCATGATAGCAGCAGCTCTGCCAGAAGATCCGTCAGAGTGCCTCCCGAGAGTCACTTCCAACCGATTGTGACCACACCGAAGAAGCCTCGGCCGTTGGTTCCCAGGCTGGTCGTCGGGTCTTGCCTGGTCGCTGTCGTCATGGTAGTCCTCGTCGTCGTCGTCGTCCTGATGCCCGATAGTCCCATTCTACCGCCGAGCGTCTGTTGGACGCATGAATGCCTGGAGTACGGCAAGTTGCTTAGGTCCTCCATCGACGACTCGGCGCTGCCGTGTCACAACTTCACCCGCTTCGTGTGTGGTGGTTGGCGCAGAGAGCACCGCTTGAGCGTACGTGAAGAACTCTACGAGAGGGCCATCGAGCGCATGACGCGTCTCGTGCGCACCATCGAGGTGCCCACGACGGACCAGAACAGCGTGCAGCTGGCGGCAGCCATCTACCGGAGCTGCGACGATGTACTGCAGGGTGTGCGGGATGAACTGGCAGCCGTCAGAAAGTACCTGTTGGATGCCGGCATCGCGTGGCCGCACCGCAGCAGGAACATGAACGTTGTTTACACGCTACTCTTCAGCTCGCTGAGGCTTGGCTGGCACGTCATATTGCGTGTAGAGCCCCGCTGGTCAGAGAATGGTGCCACTACCTTCCTCGTCGATCCTGGCGGTGCTTTTCACCTCCTCAGGCATCCGCGCGATGTTAACGACTTCGAGCAGTACTTCAAGCGGCTGACGGAAATGTATGGTGGCGCCGGCGACACTGACATCGTGTCGCTCGAAGACGTCGTAGAGGTTGAGGACTTGTTTCGCGACACGTTGAGTGCGGCTTACAACGATCGCACGGGGTACCAGGTCTTTCCAGAAAGGACGTTTCTCGGACTTGGGGAAAGTCGTTGGATCGGCGTCTTGAAGAGGTTGAACTTTTCCGTAGGCAAACGCTTCCAGGTGCTCACGACAGCACGGCGTTTCGTCTACGATTTCTTCAGCCTATGGGACAACTATGGCGAAGAAGGAGCGTACGGCTACACGTCGTGGTGTACTGTCCAGGTGGCCGGCCTCTATGCGAACCGCCAGCTCGTCCTCAACTACCACGGCGGCAGCACTAGGAAGGCGCAGGCTTACTATGGGGCCTTCTGCGTCACCGCGGCGTTCACTTTTTCTCGATACGCCCTGTTCGGAAGCTACAACGTTGAAGTACTCCGAGGCAAGACGCGCTCCGTCGCAGAGGACGTCACGCGAACCGTGGGTGACAGCTTTCTGAGGCGCCTTTCCAGGTGGCAACACTTCAATAGCAACGTCGAAGTGGTCACCAACTGGTCATCATTGTCCAGGGCGTTTCGGGGCTTCGAGGTCACCCATGATGCGACGTGGGGTCCGACCGGTTTGGAGATGACCGACTCCTTCGTGGAGAACTGGCGCCTGTCGACGCTCGTACCGAGCAATCCAGACGACTGGGTTCTCGTTGCCGTCATCGATTCACTGGAGATGTTCGCCTTGTACGTCGAGGGTTACCGTAGGGACTTCCAGCTGCTTCCCGTCGCACTCTCCTTCCCTTTCTTCGACTTGGGACTGACTGCGCCCGTCAACTACGGTGGCCTCGGTGCGCACGTGGCGTGGGCTCTCGGCTTGCTCTTCCTGACAGCGTACGGCTCCGACGAGTCGCTGAGGGCCACGGTCGAACAGCTAAAGAACTGCATCGCCGGCAAGTCGAAAGCCACGGACGCAGACGTCGTAACCTCCATTGCCGTGACGGCGGGGGCCCTTCTTGAAGCGCTGGAGGGCAACAGTGACGCGGCGAGCCGGCTACCCATCCCTCAGCTCCAGAGCTTCTCAGTGACGCAGCTCTTCTTCGTGTCGCTTTGCTTCGCGCACTGCGAGGGCAGTGATTCGGCGGCAAAATGGGCCGGCATCTGTGACCAAGCGTTGAGGCATGTCAGGAGCTTCGCTCGCGCCTTTCGCTGCGCTCCTGCGTCGCCCATGAATCCTGAGCAGCGATGTGACGTGCCTTAGTTATGGATTATTTTTGTTTTTCCAATTCGTTCGCACTGTACTCACAGTTTGTCGATTTATTTTGTTATTTTACATTTTCTTTTGTGAGCACCAAGTATCGCCTTTTGTTTTTAACCGTGTTGTACGTTCATCGCGTTCACACGGAGGAAGTACTCGCCGCGACAAAGAATCGATAATTCGTCATAGTATTCCCTTTCTCTATACGTCCTTGCTGCGTCTTCTTATACAATGTAGGTTTAGACATCGCACCCCGCGACACGTACGCGTTTGTTTTTTTTTTTGTTTCAGTATTACAGTGACCGCAACTGTAGCGCACAATTTTGACGTGGTGACTGCACCGTGTATGTTTGTGCACGGCCGCTGTTCTTGGTGCCTTTAAGGACGCCCTTTTTCACATGCGTCGTTTTATAGAAGCTGGTCAGCGCATGTGGTGCAGCTTTTGTCTGCACGTTTTCTCCGGTGCTCTGACATCTATACTCCACGTCAATTACTGGCCCACCTCTGATGTCGTGACAAGCGTGCTAAGATGTCACGGGTCGCCACGTATCCTGTTCGCGCACCCACCCTATATATATTTACGAGTACAAGTACGATGCATGTCTAAAAACGTTGCTGGCAATCGTTCACAGCTGTTCATGTTGTTTTTCAGGCCCCCCAAAAATAATAAATGAAAGCGTGTGACAGCTTTCTATTGGCATACTTACTTTTCATGTTTTCTGGTAATACGAATTTCGAATGATACGAATAACATTGCGCGATTTCTATCGCCGAGGCATTAGTATAATAAGTTGCAGAAAGTGCGTCTTAGCTCGTTTAGGGTTTGTAGCGATAGACTTGAAGTAGATCGTGTCCTCGGAATGGTTCATGGAAAAAACTAGATAGCTCAAGGTGGGTATTAGCATACGCTTTTATCAAATGTATTCATCAGCAACTAGTCGCTCGCTTTCGGTTATGCGCAAGAAGTCATTGTTCTTGCTCGCCGGAACGAGTGATGTGGACATCGGCTCCTCGCATGCAGAAGACATTTATCGCCGCTAGTCAGGATCGAGATCTCCACCCTCTTGCCGTACTGCAGCGAGCCTCAATTCCGCACTCTGAATCTTTGAATCTCGCGGTGGCCACAAGAGCCCCACGAAAGCGTTGGGGAAGCGGATGTATATTTAGTGAAAAAAAAAAGAAACATCTGTGACTGCGTAAGTAGAGTGAACAGCAGGTCAGTGAACCTTTCGGAGCAAGACTGTCGAAGCGTGTATACTGTATGGGTGCTCGTCCAGCCATTCTCTGGTCAGTGGCAGAAGCAGAAAGGGTTTTAGCAATGGAAACGAGTTACGTCTCTTTTAGTACCGTACCGACGCGCAGTTTATGCATCTGTCTTGTTCCCAAGAGCCATCATCGGTCTCCAGATGACGGACCTAGATTGCACCCGAGTCGGCTCGCCCAAAAGCGTTGGCAGCGAATGGCGACATCGGCCACGGATTGAATGAAGCAAAAATGAACTGCACGCTACCGCGGGGCTCTATGATAATGCGAAACACTTGCCTGCGCAACGGATGGGAATAAATGTTCGTTGAAGACCTTATTATGCACATGTCAGTAGGGGAGATCTGCGTAAGATATGAAGGAACGCAAAGGATTGAAGTCGTCAGTGCTCGTTTTTTTTTTTCGTTTTCCAAGTGATAAAGTACCCGCTTACTGTGTTGAAACGACTTTTGTATGGATGCGCAGACGTGTTCACGGCACATGTCAGGGGAGGTGTATACGCTGGCCAACAGGGCCGTATGGCGTGGCGTTGAGAAGTCCGAACAGTGGGAGCACACTAGCCGGATGTATTCAGATTGCGAAATCTTTGCAACTAGGCGTGCCGTCGACAAGCGGTACAGATTGAACCACTTGCGAGTGGTATAAGGCATGAATGTAAATATATAGTACATTGCAACGAATTGTCCTTTATTGAGTGTAAAGGTATTCGGTTTTGCACGCGACGCTGCACAAGGCGCATTTTGCGCATCGCGATTTATTAGTTACACATCATGTAGCTAACCGCTCTACAAAATCTTCGCTTCGTTATTCAACGTATGCGCGTTGCAAATGCACATTTACATATTTTTCGCTACGATGGCGATTATTCGAAAAAAGAAGTATACGCGAAATTCTGCGGGGTCGAATGCTTAAAACAGAGAGGAAAGCCAGAACACATATAAACTGAACACATATAGAACACATATATACTCAGTTCAGTGACGTTACGAGAGGTGTTCTTGGTTCTAGACAAGCAATATGCATCTACGCATGTCATCCGTATGTCTAGTGGCGCATCCGTAATGTCTGTGGACGGGCGCTGCATGCAGACAACGACCGGTCGAAGCTTCGTCACCGACACAAGCGGAACGACTATGCGCACACGCAAATGACTCCTCTTCTTCGATGATTTACCGCTTAAACTCTTTCCATAGGCGTACGCAGTTCTGTCCCAACGAACAATGCCTGTATGGTGACCTACAGGCGTGCCTGAGCAGTTTTGATTAACGAGGATCTTGGTGATTTCCTCCGTACGCGCAGGCTACATGATACGCGCCTGTTTTCCCTGAAGGCACGCAGCAGCGAAAGAGGGAAGCCCTTAATCGACGTCGCTGATTACCTGTTCGCTGGCATCTTCGTCAAATCGTACATATACGACGCGCACCAGGGACACGTTGATGCGCCCTTTCGCCTGGTCATCGTATACAGTGCCTGGGAGTGCAGTGTGCATCACTGTGTTTAGTCGAAGGTGGCATTCTCCAGATGCACCGTTAATTTCAGTGGGTATATACACAAGAGCGCGATGTACTTGAAATGGAGTCCGATTTACTGGCGCCATAGAGTATTTGGCCACGTCGATGGGGTAGGCCCCTTTCTGACGCTCCGAGTAGAGTGGATTGTGATTATCTCTCAGTACAGCTGACGCTCGCAGATCGCGCTGGGTGCCTTCGAAATTTCGGAAACATGAACGTACGCAGGAAAAAAAATAAAAAAATAAACAAGGTTGTGGATATCCACAATGTCGCTTAAAAAAAGTGCAGATGTTAGCAGTGGGCAAGAAAACCTGTACTGGTCAGAAAATGCTGCCGTTGGGCAGTCGAGGCTTTGTGTTTATCACTGTATTTACCATAGTCATCAACCGGCACTTGGAGTAGCATCTCTGCTGAAAAACTAGGAGACTTCTCCAGCTCACCATCCAAATAATTCTTTCTCTCTCCTGCGAGCATGTGAGCCAATCATCACGGCGCGACATGCAGCATGGAATTTAAGATTAAGTTTCAGACCGATTTAGAAATCGCTGGTATACTTCTCCCGGCAAATGATGTCATGAGCTCGGGATTCGGCTTATAACATCAATTTGGCTTGCGGTAATCGGCTGATTATTCCATCGTGCATGCTCCATAGTTGCCGTGGCCGTCGCATGGGGCCACGACGAACTCAAGCCGCCCTCTGTACTGCTATAATACACAATGTACCAAATGTCACTAGCGTGATCCTTGCCACTCCGAAAAGGTGCCGCACGTTCAAAGATGAATAGATAAATAACAGAAAAAGAATGCAGTTCCGTGCACTGCCGTGGAAACCTGTGTAATATAACAATGGCAACCAACGGTTTTTGTTCGTGGAGTTACCACTGCTCCGGTTAACAAACCATCTATAACGCCAGTGGTTTAGGTAAGCACGTTCCCCAGCATGAGTGGAAGGTTGTTAGGGAGATTTGCAAGCTCGCTGAGAGGCATGAGCGCTACTTTTTAATGCGATCTGTCCACTCTAAAACTTCACTGGCACTTGACTGCGGCAGTCAATTTATAAGGAAATAAACTCAAATGGTGAGGTCGTTCGATGATTACCTGGGAAAGCGTTGCAAGACCCCTTGAAGTTTCCCGCTCATAAGTTTCTAGGCGCTGAACTCGGGATCGAGCTTTCAACTGCAGGGATAGCAATAACCTAGATAATACTTAGTAATTATATCGTAATTACTTTAGATGGAGTATGCTGGGACAGTAATTACCCCGCACTTCAACCAAAAATGTTAAGGGAAACACGCGACTGTAACTGGTTAAGCGACTAGCACTACCGATACGATCTGCAGCCTCGCGCTGCCGTCTGTCATTCTTGTCGTCTGCTTGGGCGCGATGCCGCTGGCTCGTAGCAATATATTCGGAGCCTTGGGTTACTTCGACTGCTTTCGTAACGCTGCCTGCTCAAATTACTCCTCGCAATGGCTGCCGCAGGAAAACCTGTTTGTGATGAACAGGGCCAAGTGAATTCGTTAGCAGAGGTCCCAACTGTGCTGTTCGTTGTATAGTAATGACGCTTCCATACATGTGTGCAACTCTTTGCTGCTTAGCAGACGCGTATGCATCTCGTCGGAAGAGGGCGCATTGGCTTCGCTAATCACGTGTCAAGGACTCTCTTCGCTCATATTCCTGATTAAAAAAAAAAGTCCCCGCAGCCGCGTACGCAATAAAACGAACAAAAGCAATCATTAAGGAAGTGATTGATGGCAGTGTTCACGGACGTGCTGCGAAAGCCAGGACCACGCTGGCGGCTTGAATAGCGATGTAGCAGTTTCGATGGTGTTTTGAATACAAAGTATATATTGATGGGCAGCCTTTTCTTTTTGTTCAACGCTCAAGGTCATTAGACAGAGGCCGTATACGTTTTCAGTTAATGACTGTGGGGGAAAGGTTGTACTGTGTGCTGATTTATAACTACTTAAACTAAATAAATATAAAAGGAATAAATTACATTGAGCTGGCACTCGCTTTGGTGAATTCTCTGTAAGAAATCATTGCTATGTCCGAAGTTGCCGAGAGACGCACGGCATGAAAAGGATGGTAGAGCAGTGGCCGGCGTCAAAAACTTATGGTTGGAACAGTGGCATTCAGTTTTTTTCGGGGCTAATAAACCACCCTCTCCCTACACACGCGCAGCATTCAGAGTTAATTTCGCATATTCATAATTTCCTTTTATGAATA